TTTTTGGCCGTATGGCCCATTTGATCACACCATTGACACTTGGGCCTATATTTTCTCTGGCCCGAATATGAGGGCCCATTTTTGTGATGCCTATTGTTGCTGTGAGGCCTGTTGGAGGAAGACTTAGGGCTTGGTTTATGCTGTCCAGGGGCACCTTGTGTCGATGAGAGTAATTGGCAGTGGAAACAAATGTTACTGTTGATTGATTCTCCAGCCGACGAAGGTAACTCTCATGACCTATAAGAAGATCATGGATTTCCTCAAATTTCAGAGAGGTCTCACGAGCACGAATGGGTGCCGCAATTTCTCTAAATTCAAGACCCAATCCATTTAGAATGTAGAGGGTTAAATCATCATCTGAAATCGGATGATCAATGATGGCAAGTTCGTCAGCAATCACTTTGCTTGCTCGAAGAAACTCAGTGACGGTGCGATTTCCTCGGGTGCTTAAGGTCAAGTCTTCCTTGAGTTGCATCGCGCGCGTCCGTGATTTTCCTGCATATAAACGGGTAAGTGTTGTCCAAGCCTCATGGGATGTTTTGTAGGCAGCAAGGAGTGGGGTAATAGTGGTTGAGGTGGAGGCAAGAATGACATGGAGGATGAGTTTATCTTGATGAATTCATTGGGAGTTCGTGGATTTGGAGGCAGCGGAGGGCGTTTCATCAATGGCAAGGCATTTTTTTACACCAGTGACAAAGTCAATGAGGTCATAACCAATGAGCAGTGCTTCAAATTGAGCCCTCCATTGAGGAAAGGGTAGAAAGGGTGAGTTTCTCATTGATGGTGGTTGCGGCATTGATGGTGATGATGGGTGAATCAGTGGTGGAGGTAGGGATGGCAGCCATGTCGCAAGAAGCAAGAAAGGAAAACAACTCGTTAGAGGTCTGGCTCTCTTGATACCATATAAAGGATTACACTGCTATGGTTTTGTTGCTTGAACTCACTCAAATTCTATTCATGTTCTATATCTTTTTATACAACCAGAGAGGCCTAATGTATGTAACTTGAAAAGGAAATTTACAATCATAATTGACAGCAATATTTACAACAATAAACAGCTGATCCTAAAATCATGGTAGGCATAAAATCTGGGCATAAAATCTGGTGATGTTAATGGTGACAGCTAGGCTTGAGTTGACACTTGTTTGACTTCCTCAGTTTCCTTGATAGACCTATCCCAAAAGAACTGAACAAATGTTACAGATTGCAATACTTGGGAATGAGGGAGAGTAATTTAAGTGGAAGCATACCTGTTGAACTTGTATTGTTTTTGTCGGGTCTAGAATCCTTGAATCTCTCTCACAATAATCTTTCTGGTGTAATCCCTAATTATACATGCGGGTCATGCCCAATCAATTTGTCAAACACCCATTTGGGTTGTAACTTGACTTATCCACTGTTCAACAAGACAACCCGAAACCATCACTTTCTTGTGGTTTTCCTATCCATTACCTTTTCTTGTTGTCGCCTTGGTTTTCGGACTCTTTTATTTTTCTTGGAGTAAAACTCGAAAAACCCGAGTGAGGCAAGGTAAACGAAGAATAGTAATATTATTTACAAGTAAAAAGTTCTTCAACGGTGAGGGGTTATTTGGTAAAAGAGTATGGGGGCAGTTGGTAAGATGAGTTTGAAAAAATTAGTTTAAAGTTCTTTAAATCTTATATTTATATGAAAAATGCAGTCTCGAGTTTCTAAACTTAGCCTATAGCTGGTTCGAAAATTAAATCCATGATCATGAGTTTCGTTAAACTTAGGACGAGAATAGGTTTGGGAAGATGAATAAGGAGTTAAAGAACCAAAAGACAATTGTATCTCATAACATAAGTATGAATTGAATTAATCAAGGGTAAAATAGTCATTTATAAGACAAATATTCATAATTTTTACGTGTGTATGTGTGTGTATGTGTTACATATCAAATCTGTATACAAACTAAATTAAACGTTGAATACCATCTTTACAAAGAGATATTTGAGTTTGAAAGAATTTGAAGAAGCTAATCAAAACTCATCCTCAAAATCCATCCAAACAACCTTATAGGTCTACAGAGTTGCCTCCGGTGGCCTCCTTCTGCACTTGGCCGCAGGTCCACCGTGTGTGTGTGAGAGAGAGAGTGAGAGATTACATCGAAACCTCTACCGCTCCAAAACGTTATGAATTTAGGGAGCGGAGACAAGCCTGAAAATGGGTCGGGTCAGCATTCAAACCGATATTTTGCTAATATGAATGTTTCAAACCTTCTTTATTCGAAACAGGTTCATGGGTAATCGGGTTAACGGGGTGCCCATTAAGGTCCAAGCTCTGCCCATCATGATGACCCAAATAAATGTCATCATTTCACTTCTAAACTCTCTGCAAACCCCCCCAAAACCTCTCTCTCTCTCGACAACTCAGCTCAGAACTTCACTGCCACAAACAACCATTGATAGTGTGGTGGGGATCATCTAATGCGACCAATCAGGCGAGCGATTGTAATTGGAAACGGTATGGCAGGTGCAGAGAATCAGTGCATCGGTTTGGTTCGTGCTCTGGGTCTCTCTCATCGACAAACTCTATATGTAAGCTTCTTCTCTAATGCTTGTATTCACGGGCTGTTTGGTTTCCTAGAAAAAACGAGGCAAAGTAAAGGAAAATGAAATCTGAATTCTGTACTTCATGTTGGTTTTGTATCCGAAGAAGTGAAATTTAATTTGTGAATATGGGCAAGCAAACGCATATATCTGATCCATTAATTGTATGCTGAGAATTTCATGTATTGCTGAATTAACTAACGCTGTTTTTGGTTGAACTAAACTGACTGTGTAATCTTTTCTCTTTCTGTTGGTCTTACCTGATCAGAGGAAACCTTGTTTATCACTTATGAGACATTGTCTGTCTTTCTAAAAGGCCAGAAGTAGTAATTATGGAGGTTCCTCAAGTGGGAAAATTAGCATAAATTCACCCTCGGGTTATACAAATCTTTTACATTGTTGCTACGAATTTGTATCTCAACCATATGGTTGTGAAACACAGTTGGAATGTGGGTGACCACCAATTTGTTGGTTAACTGGACCTGAAAGTCCAATGCAAGTAGCAATGGAGCAAATCCATGATATTTTCTGATTACGATATATGGCTGTTGTTAATATTGATTCTTGCCGGACTTGTCTTGTGCTAGTCTATATCTAATCCAGAGTTGAAATGTAGGAGCGAGTGGAAAGTTACTCATCAATATACGATATCATTATTTTAAGAGGTGAAATCATATCTGCTGGCCATTTTACTTGCTAGATAATCTCCATTGTTATGAGTCTGTCTTGTAAGTCCTAAAATTTTACTTTTGAACTTTAGCCATGAGGATGTTCTGGGCAGTTACGGGCATTACCAGAGTCATCCACATCATAGCTTTGCCATCTTAGAGGCATCTGATACATTAGAGATCGCTATCATCTTGAGATTTTGGTGATATCATGCGTTGGTGCTTGTTTTGGCAATTGTTTTTGTGGATGATTACCAAACATATTATTAAAAGAGGTAGCTGTCTGATACTTGAAATTGATAGCTTCTTCAGGGTTGGAAATTGGAAGTGCCTTTTTCAAAAGTTTAAAGAAAGTGTACATAAATCCTTATAATCACATATATCCATGAATTATCTGAATTTATTTTGCCATTGTTACCACATGTTTTGACATTTTGCATGTGATAGCTTATTCAGTTATTCATTGTTACTTATACAGCGTGTTACTAGACCAAGAGGTGTGATAGCTTATTCAGTTATTCATTGTTACTTATACAGCGTGTTACTAGACCAAGAGGAGGAATCAACGAGTGTTTTAGTTGGCTGCCAGTTTCTCTCCACCAAAACTTAGGCCTTGTCATAAAGCGAATTTGTGGAGATTCACAACTCCAAATTACTATCAATAGAAAAAAGTTGTTGCCTCTTCCTGCTGAAATTAAAGGTGGCACATGCTTATCCAATTCTATCTGAGATTATTTACCAACAATATTGCTATAAATTGATAATACAGGCCATCCTTTTGAGATGGAGTAATATTCACTCTAATTGTGATACTTTATCATTAACGACATGTGGTATCAATCATCCACTAATATACCACAACATGTGATAGTTATTGGATTATGTTGGATATTGTAATAAATAGATTATGTGGGCGGATTTGTAACCTGTGGAGGTTTATTATTAGATAGTCATATCACATGTCATTGATAATGTCGTATTGCAGCTGTTATTAATATTAACTCCTGAAGATGGTGCATTTGCTCTTAAAATTGACTTCCATTTGGTTTCTTATTTTATTTTTTAAAATACTAATAAAAAGCCTAGGAGGAGAAACTGATGCCCTTCCTGGTCTGAATGGTGTTACAGCTGTTCTACCAGATATAATAGAAGCTGATGCAAAGAAAATTGCAACAATGGCTTGTCAAACGTTTGAAAGGTACAGTTTAATCTTCTTCATTTTAATTTGCTTTTGAAATATATTTTGAATATGCCAATATGAAAATGATCCTGCCTATGGATAGCATAGATAGCCTATAATGAAGATGTTTGTGGAGGATAATTGTATGCTAATTGAATATACTGGTGAGTTACCTCTAATGTAATAATTGCATAGAATCTAAACTTAAATGCATGTCTTCTTAGGTTCTCTTCTGTTGATTAGTGTCTTTTTGTTAGTATAATAAAGTTTAGAGCTTATTGGTTATTGGCATGATATATACCTCTCTTCTTGATTCCTTTGAAAAGTATCATCTCTCATAGCTATTTTTTTTCCTTTTTGAAATTCAAGGGATGGCCCATTATTGGTGGTTGCATCTGGCCGAGACACTATTTCGGTTGCAAGTTCCATTAAATGGTTAGCTCCAGAAAATGTTTTTCTTGTTCAGGTTTGAGAGGGACTGTCTTCCATCTACTGATATACAATCCTTGACTGGTATATACATAAGTGTATGTAAGAATTCGTATAGTTGGCATGATTCATGTTACCTTTTTATGTTTTACTTATAAAATGGTGATTTTTTGAGGATATGATTGAACATGACCAAAATTTCAATTCTGTAGATTTCTGCTTTTTGATTTTCTCACAAGTACTTGAAGCAACATCATTCTCATGGAGTTGCTAGCTTAAGCTTATTAAAGCAATTCATGTGTTCATATCAATTATCATGACTCATATTCTTTGGTTTGTGTTTGCTTTTGGGAGCAAACTTAATTTTGTCTCTATTGTTTTTTACATACTATTTTTGTCCATTAACAATTTTCCTGTAGTCATGATTATTTACTTTGTTTGGCACACTACTAAATCTGTTAAATTGAAGATTTCTTTCACTATTTGTTTTCAGATACAACATCCCCGATCACATTTGAATAGGTTTGATCTGGTTATAACTCCACGCCATGATTATTACCCATTGACTCCTCAAGCACAAGAGCAGATTCCTTGGTTCCTCCGTAGATGGATAACTCCTCGTGAGCCTCCTGACAGACATGTTGTAAGTTTCTCCCTTGAAATTTCTTGGTTTATTCCATGAAAAACTTGATAGTTTTCTGATAGACGTGTTAAGTTTTTTCCCTTGAAAATTCTTGCTGCAATGGTTCACTTCATGAGAAAAACTTCTCGCGGCTAAGGTTTTAGCTGCTTTTACTGATTACTGAATATATGTTGCAATTTGCAATATGGTACAAAGCTTACTAGGTTGAAATTCAAATCACAGGTCCTCACTGTGGGAGCTCTTCACAAGGTTGATTCTATTGCACTAAATAATGCTGCTTCTACCTGGCATGATGAGTTGGCACCACTTCCAAAACCGTTGCTTGTGGTCAACATAGGAGGGCCTACAAGTAATTTGTGCATTTCTTGTGTCACATCTAATTTTTTTCTTATGTAAATGTGATGGTATATGCAAAAGAATTGACTCATTGTTTGAAAAATGTAACAAACTGAATGCCTGTTTTTCCTACGCTGCTCTTTTACCACGAATTCTTGGTCATAAGAAAGTATCCATTATTTGCATATGTTCATATATTGTTTATTGTAGGCCATTGTAGATATGGTGCAGACCTTGCAAAGCAGTTAACAACCTCCCTGCAGGATGTTCTTTCAAGTTGTGGGAGCATCAGAATATCTTTCTCTCGGAGAACTCCGAGGAAGGTGTGCATTCTTCTAGCAATATGTTTTTATGCTTTATTATGCTTTTTTTGAATAGGAAACAAGAAATTTCATTAAAGAAAGGCAATTTTGCTTTACTATGATGGGTAGTCATAGTCATCTTTTGCCATTCTGTAATTAACAGGTATCTGACATATTAATGACAAAATTTAGCAAACATCCTAAGGTTTACATCTGGAATGGCAAAGGTACCCTCTGTTTCTGTCATCAGTTTGGTTATATTCTACTTTATCTTTAGGAATCCGGACATTTATATCTACAAATTTGATGATTTAGATCCAAATCCGCACATGGGACATCTGGCTTGGGCTGACGTTTTTGTCATCACAGCTGATTCAGTTAGTATGTTGAGTGAGGCTTGCAGCACTGGGTATGTTTGCCGTATGTTGATCAGCTGATGATTGTCAAGCTCTTAAAAGTAGTCAGTTTGATGTTCCTTTTTGGTTTTCTTTCTTTGTGTTGACATCAAAGTCTTTCACTATTCATGGTGCAGGAAGCCTGTGTATGTTATTGGAGCTGAGCGCTGTACATGGAAGTTTTCAGACTTCCATAAATCTCTGCAGGAACGCGGAGTGGTTCGACCTTTCACTGGTAACGAAAATGTGAGTGCCTCATTGTTGTCATTGTCGCTAGTTATTGATGAAAAATTCCCAAAAGAATGTTTTCGCCAATATGTGATACCATGCTGCTTGTTTCTAAACTCAAGAAAGAGGAAAAAAGGCCCATCTAAACTCTCTGTCCCAAAACCTGTGTTTGTTTTGCTTTGACTTCGGTTGTAAGAGTTGGGTACATCTTACACCTGTGGATGGTATGGGATATTGTTCAGATGTCTTAAGCCTTATTTCATCCTTCCTTCATCCCACCCCAACCCCATACTTTCCATCTCTACCTTTTGGCACCATTCCTTTCCTCCCAAAGCTACTTCCTCCTTATTGATCTTAGCTTACTTCACTTGTTATCTTGTGGCGCACAGTGCACTCGTGTTTCCAGCTCAAATCTATGTTATGAACTTATGATCTCATTAAAATATTGTATGCCATGTAGTTTCTAGAAATCTTGCACTCTTTTTGAATTCTAACTTTCATAAAGGAAATAGTATGTAAGATAAATTTCATCCACACTCCTTGTAGTTAGGTTTAAATTCAATGACACTTCCTCTCAATTCCAAAATTTTACTTACCGGTCAGTTGTTGTCTTCATACGGGGTTAACGGCGAGCATTGTTTTATAGAAGTATTCCTCCGTATTTTATAAGTACTAAACTTCTGTACTCTGTATGTATACCTAATTAAACTAAACTATTAACTATAATTTGGTTTAGTTAACCTCACCTATTTAATAAATCTAAACCTTACCAAACACGTCTATGTAAACCACCGGACTTCCCACCGTCATTCGGTCGTTCTTTCTTTGCACAAAGAAAAGGGAAAAAAGGGTGGGGGAGGGGGGGGGGGGGGGGGAAGAATATATATTAAAACATCTAAATACCATTCATAGAACAAAACATCATATTTTCATTGAAGTAATCTGCTATTACTTCATTCTAACCAAAATTTGCAAGACTAAATAATAATTACAAGTTACAACTGCCATCCTCATCGTCATTCAGCGGTGGAGCCAACATTGGCTTAGGGGTTGGCACATACCCACCCTGAAAAAAAAAAAATCTTGATATTACCTAAATATCTTTTAAATATTTATGAAACATTTAACTAGACCACCCTATTTTTTTTCCTTGTGATGTCCATTAAAATATAATCTAAATAATTAACTATTAACTTTTAGACCCACTTTGGATGCATTCGGATTGGTGTTCTTACTCGGAAAAAAAAATTACACCAAAAGGTACATGGTATATTCATTAGGTTACAATTTTTTATCATAAATTTGTCACGTGATATTTAAATATGGACATAAAAATAATTTGGATAACTTTTGACAAAATTTTTACTCAAATTTTGATTAAATAGCTACCTAAATTATATATTTTTGATCATGAGTTATCCAAATTTTAGTCAAAAGTTACCTATATTACATATTTTTTTGTCAAAAACTACCCAAAATTTTGTTTAAGAGTTATCAAAATATTTTTTGTCTATATTAGGTATTACTTGACAAATTTATAATAAAAAATCATTAGCAATCTGGCATTGTGTGATTGAAGGACCATTTTGAAACATATTTGATATTTCAGAGACCAAAATGATGCAATGGAAACATTAGAGACCAAAATGAGATAAATCTCATACTTTAGGGACCTCAAGTGCAATTAACCCTAGAAATTATAAAAACTGGATTATATAACCAACTGAGTGATAATATGATGACTATATATATATATATATATATATATATATATATATATATATATATATACAAAGAAATTTACAAAACTAGTTGGATCCCCAGAACTTTCAGTGAAAAATTAAAAGTACGAACCATTGAACAAGTTCATGCATTAAAAAATAGTGAAGAACAAGTTCAACTCTTAAGTAAAGAAGAATTGAAAATCCACAGAAATGAAGGATTTAATTTCATTCATTTAGGATTAGTCCAGGTAGCTATAAAGCCCCTGACTACTGATGGCATGAATTCTGCAGTTCTATTATCCCTAAGAGATGCACGATTTATTACCTATAAAAATGGCATTTTAGGAATAATGGAAGCTGGACTTCATGAAGGCCCAGTATATTTTAATTGTTTTCCTGATTTTACATTAAGTCTACATTGCCAGCATACTCCTAAAGCCTTAACCTTAGGAATCAAACTCTCTGGACAAATCTTAGACTTAGTAAAAGAAACTGCTTCTTTAGCTTTAATCTATAGGGTCTATTACAAATGCATAACCACCAACATGAATGTACACGCATTAAAGAAAAGCCCTAAAGAAAGTACTCTGCTAATCCAACCTAGTACCAGTGAAGCTAATGTCCAAGTCCCCAAAAGACTCCAATGGAAAGACATTGAACTTCCAGAATCATGGCTCGTCACTAATGAGAACCATGATAAAGACAAAGAAACAACATCTACCAATCTAGAAACTGTCCAGCAGCTTTCTGATGGAATGGTTAGGATCTCCTTCGATTCAGCCAGATCCCATAGGTCCAGTAGATTTAATGAACCTATTAGGATTAATGAAGGAAGAAGATCAGATGTTGATTCCACTATATCCCAAAGAGATAAAGAAATTGCAAAAGAACTGCAATTCAGGATTAACCAACTTAAAAAACAATATAAAATGAAAGGAGTAGATAATGAGTCATCTCCACACCTTAGCAGACCTCATTATACTCACAAACCTCCTTTAGTTAATACATATTCTAGGTTTAAGGAAGAAGAAGAAAAGGATAGGGAAGATGATTTTACTCCATCACCCACTGCTTCTGATCTCGAAAGTCTTAAGCCTAATCCAGATTTAAGTCATCAACTCTATGTCATAAATACAAAACCTAGTACTTTATTTCTACCAGACATAGCTCAATTAAAAAGTAGGATGGTTAAGAATAAATTTAGAAATAAAGAATTCTTTAAACAATATAATGGACAACAAAGAAAAGAAATTCAAGTTCAATGGATTAAAACAATGCACAAAATTGAATCTGAAATTGAATTTTTTGATTACCTTGACTCTTGTCACAAAGATGTAAAAGTAATAACAAAACATAAATGGAAAACTACGGATTCAGGAATTGTCTCTTCTAGTCATCCTCCAACCCAAACTTTTACATTTAATTCTGCTGACAAACAAATCGTGGCTTCACCATTTAAGATCCCTCCTCCTGAAAATACTAAGGCATCAACAGAACAAGTGGCTTTAGATAAATTTCAGAAGAGAGTAATTGAACAAAACAATTTTACTAATCAAAGCTTAATTGTTTTAGGCCAACAATTAGATAAGATTGAAAACAAAATTGAAAAAATACCTATTTCCCCAAAGAAATTAGAAAAACCTCTAGTAACCCTACCAGAAGATAGGACTAAATTAGGAATACCAGATCAACTTAGGATTGCAAAGATTGATCAGTTAATTAAAAAATTAGATGCACAAACCGAAACATCACAAACTTCTCAAGTAACTGTAATTAACAAAAATTCTGAAACTGAAACTGAGACTTCCATATCTTCATCTGAGGAAGATATTAAAAGCTTAGAAAAACAGTTCACTGACATAAGCATAAGTGCACCTATTTCTAAAATCAATAAGCTGGTTTTCCCTTCTAGTTCTACAAAAAATTGGTACTCCAAACCCACTCCCCCAGATATTCAATTTGAAGAGAAAAATATTTCTAACCAATTTTCAGTTCAATCAAACAAGCTATATGAATGGAACATAGATGGATTAAGTGAGCAAGAAATTCTCAACAAAATTCATCACATGTCTATGGTCATTAATAGTTATGTAAATAACCTTAATGATCCTGAACCCCAAATTGTCGACTTAGTTACCTCAGGATTTACTGGAGTACTGAGGAGTTGGTGGGACAATTACCTTACTCCAGATTCTAGGGATGATATTAGAAATGCTGTTGTTCTTGATGATGATGACATTCCAATTTTTGATGAGAGACTTGGCAGATCAAAACCAGATGGTTTAAACACTTTAATATTCACCATTGTCAAACATTTTGTTGGCACACCAAGTAATATTGAAGCTAGGATTCATGACCAGCTTAGTAACCTCAGGTGCCCAACACTTAGTGACTTTAGATGGTATAAAGATGTTTTTATCAATAGAGTTATGCTTCGCCCAGACTGTAATAAATCATTCTGGAAAGAAAAATTTGTTAATGGTTTACCTAATCTATTTGCCCATAAAATCAGAGAAGCCCTTAGCAAAGATACTGGGATCATAGAATATGATTCACTGACTTATGGCCAACTTGTTAGTACTATCCAAAAGGAGGGCCTTAGGATGTGTATTGATCTTAAGATCAGTAAACAATTACAAAACGATAAAAAGAAAGCCAAATATGAAATGAGGAATTTTTGTGAACAATATGGTCTCCCTCCAGTAGCACCATCAACCTCTAAAAAACTTAAGCACAAATCCCATAAAAAACATAAGTCATATTCAAAACATAAATCTTATTATAAGAATAATAAAGATTTACTCACTAAACCTCAATTTTATAAAAAAATCCAAAAAGACTATTAGACCAAAACCTAAGAAGACAGGGAAAATGTCTAAATGGTTAAATACCAATAATGACACTATAACATGTTATAACTGTGGGAAAAAGGGTCACAAAAGTCCCGATTGCCCAATTAAAAAAGAGGTAAAAAAACTTAATCTAACCAATGAAGAGACTGAAGAAATCCTAAAAATCTTCAGACTTCATAATCCGGAAGACTCAGACTCAGACAATTCTGATAACTCAGACAATCCTGATAATTCCCTTGACTCTTCTACACCTTCTACGACAAGCGAACCTGATATTAAATTAGGATGTAATGACAATTGTTGTAAAAAAATAAGAGTAATCACAGAACAAACTGAAGGACAAATTTTAATTGACTTAATCAGTAAAATTGAAGAACCGCAATTAAAATCTAAATATATAAAAAATCTTAAGGATCTGTTTGTCAAAACAGAAAAAAACAAACATCTTATAATAGAAAAACCTTTAATTAGTATTAACAAAACTATGGAAAGATTTAGTAAGGAAAAGAAAAAAGAATTAACCTTACAAGATCTTTATAGTGAAATTAATAAATTAAAAGTTGAAATAAAAGATTTAAAGACACAAGACAAACTCTTGGCAGAAAAA